CAAAAAAAAAAAAGACTGCCAAAGACCCCTAATTCCCTACAAGGGCCTTAAGAAGGAGAGCGTTTCGAAGTATACTATCATTGACTATACAGGCCTGCTGTTTCGAACTATTTGGACCCCTATGCTGTCATCCCGAGAGTCCACGACCATTCCGCGGGTCCTTCCTGACGCATACAGCGCCAAGACTTGCGCATTGCAGAGGTATGCCGAGGGAACTTCAAATGTCTCCTTGGCTCAGGCTTGGCTTTGGGGTTTAGGGTTTNNNNTTTAGGGGTTTGGGGTTTAGGCTTTGGGGCATCGTTTGGTGGGGCTTAATTCCCTAAAGGTCCATGTACCCAAATAGTACCCAAATAGTGGATACTTTGGCCTTACAGTAGTCCCTATTTTGGCACTTTGGGGCCAAAGTATCTACTATTTGGGCATGTGGATTTTTAGGGATTAGCAAACCTCAAGCCTAAACCCGAAACCCTGGACCTAAAACCTTCCTGCTGCTCGCGCTGCTACTGCCGCTGCTGCTGGTACTGCCACTGCCATTATCATTGGTACCCTTCTTCCTACTCCTGCTCCTACTACCTCCTAGTCCTAGTCCTGGTGCTGGTCCTGGTCTTGGTCCTCGTCCTCCCGTGGGTCCTGGTGTTCGTCCCCATGCCGGCCTAGTCCTAGTGTTAGTGCTGCTGTTGCTGCTACTACTACCACCACCACCACTACTACTACTACTACTACTACTACTAGTACTACTACTACTACTACTACTACTACCACTACTACTGCCACTACATCTTGGAAAAGATGATACTATCAAAAAGACAAGTATGAAATTATCGTAGTCATAATACTAAAAGTAGTGATAATCGTCGCGGCCGGGTTTCGAACAATATCAGCAGCATTTTCTCACGGTCAGCCTTGATGCTTTGGGCATTTAGGCCTGACCTGTGCCTCAAAGCACTAACTCGGGGGCTCTACCCTGGAAGAATTTCGGAGTCAGCACCTACTGTCGCGTTGGGTTGAAAGTCTTGAGGCGGTTGCTGTTGGATTTTGTGAGTTTGCTTGGACTACTTGGTGCAACATTCGTGCGCCTAAACCAGCAAAAATAGTTTATAACGATGGATATTCAACTGAACGAGACTGAACTGCCAAGACCTGGGTTGACTGGGCCCTAAAATCTGTAGATCAGGGTTTAGGGTTTAAAGGTTTAGGGTGTAAGCTTCTCTGAAACGTTATCAATCCGGGAAAGTGAAAACTATCGCCCAACTCGGCACCAAGTTTAGGGTTTAAGGCCGGGCGCAGGATGTTGAGGCTTGTCGAGAATTGCTTGGAAGCTTACAGGCTTCTCCAAAGGGTCCCATGTACTGTCGTGGGGGATACTTCCAAGCATCATAATGGCAACTCCCAAAACAGAAACCCTAGAATCTACTATATAGGTACATACGGTTGATGATATACATCCTGCATTACCCACAAGAAGGAATATACCATAATTCCCACAGTTTAAGGTTCTTAAGGTAATGCAGGATTTATATCAACAACAGTAGGACCCTTTGGGTCTGTGTTGGGAGATGAGGCTTTCGGCTCCATTTTTTCGCGGAGTTGCGCTTCGAGGTTGGAGTCAAACCCTGCTGGTTATGGAAGAGCCACAGCACCCATCTCCGTCAGCATAAACGGCTTAGGGTTTAGGGTCTAGGGATTAGGGTTTAGACTTACTTCCCCAACAAGCCAGGGAAAAAATGTTAAAGTTTCAGATTACCGCTAGGTTATAAGAACCCAAAAGTTTAAAGGCTGGGAATTTGGGAACTAAGCACATGTGGAGTTCTCAATACTCAAGTAAAACCGACGGGTTTCGGGGTATGTATAGTATCTAAACCCCAACCCTAAACCCTAATATAATACAGGGACTACAAGAGAATCTCTACTCCCCCCCTAAGCAGGTAATCAACACGTGAAATCTTTGGAGATTCCTATCCATGTAGACCTAAGAAAACAAAGTTACAACCCAAACATCTAGGCTACTCTAGACCCTAGACTTTACAATCATAAGATATAGGCACTTTAGGGGTGAGATATTATCTTCTAAGTATGATAACCTTCTTGTTGTCACTGCTGGCCTTGGGCGTCAACGGGGCCTCTGTGACAAGAACCGGATGGTCCTGGCAGAGTTTCTGCCAGGGATTAGGGTGCATAAGGGTTTAGGACATAAGCCTTAAGCACATACGCCCTATAAGCCCCAAGCACCCAAAAGCAAGGACCATAGCGGATCGTTTGAGAGCAGCTAAATCGGTTCCCTGGAAGCCCAACTGCCTGCGCATAGGTTACATTCCCATGGGCGTGAACCCAAAGGTAGGTTATCCAAGGGTCGAAGTACCTACTCACTTACTAAGTTTCCCGATCCTCCAAATATATCGTTCGTTTCCAGTTAGCGTCCCTAACCCAAATGTTTGCATAAACCCTGAACCCAAAAGCCCGACTCGGACGTCCCGAAGTGTGTGAAGGCTTTTCGTCTTTCAGATACCGGCAATGGAGCGGCTGCAGCCTCATGGGCTACCGCAGTAGGGTTTAGGGCTTAGGGTTAAGCTCATCTCGACAGTACTTCATTAGCCAGCATGTCTCAAAAGGAGTATGGCATGGATCCTCTTCTTCTTTGCAGGGGCCTGTGGCAGGCCCTGCTACAAAGAACTTGTTGTATAAAAGTGGCCCTAAAAACCTAAACCCTAATCCCTAAACCCTAAACCCTAAGCCCCAAAAATGCCTAGACCCAAAACATCCCTAAACCCTACCTCTAGAAGAAGTACGTGGGACCACTACATTACCAGCCTCAACCTTCAACCCTGCGACCTTGCACTTCCTAAGCGAATTCGGTTTAGGGTTTAGGGTTTAGGGTTTAAGCAATAAGTCCTGTGGCTGGAGATTCAGCTCATTGTAGAAGGTGTGATGCCAAATTTTCCTTGGCTTGCTCGCCATGTCGTGCTTTGGCTTTGAGCTTTCAAGCGTTCCAGGGTCCTGGGTTTACCTATCAAAGTCTCGAAAGTCTCCATTGTCGCGCTTTTTGGCTAACCAGTTGTTTCGGTCAGGGTCCAATAATAGAAATCTGATTAACCACCAAAGATGGGAATTACACTTGGGCACTGTGGGTAGCCTCTATGACTTTCAGAACAGTCTAGAGTTTAGGGGTACCCCCACTCCACCCCACCCACCTCACCCCACCCCTAAACCCGAAACCCTAGACCTCTTGCTTGTTCAACAGTGCCTGCTCCTATAGACTAATGCGGTGATGTGCTATAAGACCTGTCGATTACCTACTCAGCGAGTTTTTATCGGTTTCGGGCGGCCAGAATCGGTTTGTCTACTGACTGAAATCCGTCAAATCCAGATGCCCCCTAGTCATTGGTGCCTCCCCAGAGGTTTCGTCTGGTGCTCACGTGGTGATCCACGACACCCGGGCTTGAAAACTCGCCCCGAAGGCGCTTCTTTGATATCTTCACACCCAGAAGCGACCACAACCATTTCACGGAACAGGGTTTAGGGCTAAACCGCTAAACCGTACACTTCAAGCCAAGTGGCTCGAGATCGTCCCAATTGGTGACGACCCCGCGAGTAAGAGGAGTCTTGCACAGAAGGATGCCTGGACCAGTCTAGGCTAGTTTAGGGTTTAGGCTACCGGGACCCCAAAAAAGCACCTGCCTTTTCCGGGCTCCTTAGTATGATTTCCTCATATGAATCAGAACAGGGTCCGGCAGAACTAGGGGCGTAGGACAGTGTAGGGTTTAGGCAATTAGGTGTTTCGGGTTTAGGGTTTTAAAGGCTTCGGGTTCAGTGAACTTAGAGTCCTGAATTGCTCACCCCGTGAGATGTAGACCCTGCACCGTGAACCTGACCCACCCGGCACACCCAAGCAATCTTACCCACTCAGGCTTATAAACCCTAAACCCTAAACCCAGGACGTCTAAACCCTAAACTCTAAACCCTGAACCTTAAACCTTAAACCTTAAACCCTAAACCCGAAACCCTAAATCCAATAAGGCGGCGTTTAGGACTTAAGGTTTAGGGCTCCGAAGCGACCTTGTACATCACTTTGGGGCTTCATGCTCAAGGGGATCAGATTCTTAGTTCTCAAGGATTGGCTTCACATTCTCGCAGGGGTCCAAGTACCCAAATAGTATGGTTCCAGGTCCCCAAATCCATACTCGGAAAGGTTTTTTTGGCAAGTCCTCTGGATTTACACTCACTTGGACTTGCGGGCGTACGGTACAGGCTCGGATCGGGTCTCAAGAGCAGGATTTATGCCACCCCCCTCTAATTCAAAAACATCGCCTTAACACGCCTCTCAATTGCGGTTCCTTTCTGGTAATCTTGTAGTACAGGTTCCTCTCCACAAGAACTGGTTAACAAGTAAGGAACTAGAGCGGAGACAAACGTCCATAGTTGCATTCACACTGCATGGTATGGATATGAATTTGGGCCCGTCAAAGGCTTGCTTGCTCGAAGGTTTGGTTCCGACCTCACGGGAAATGCGGGTTTTCCGTATCAAGACGATCCGGGTATACCCATGTGCTTGTTGAGTTCGCTGCAATGATGGCGGCAATTTGTTGGCAAAGCCATGGCGTAGAAGTGTTCCCGTACTGCCTTCAGGCATTGCCTACATACATAGCCACAAAATGACTGTAAGGTCATCTGATACAACAATGGTAGCTCGGGTGTTCTCGTACAGGCGTGCAGGGCACACAGGATCTCTAATTCCTATCCGCACGGGTTCATGTACTCAAACAGCATACATACTTCGCACCAAGTGACATTCCATGTCTTACTTGTCGCACGTACATTTACAGAACGATACGCCATCTTCGAGCTTTTGGGCCCCCCATTGCAGCGACGCGGCCGCGTCGTCTAAGGGCGTCGTTGCCCACGTAGTGGTCCGTTACCATCCTTGGCCATTCCGAAGTTAAGTCACTGAGGGGTTGCAGCTTCGGGTCATCTGGTCTTTCTAAGCTCCTTACAGAGAGGCTTCAAATTTAGATTGTTCAGAGGTTTAGGATGTACTGTGGGGTTATGTAGCAAAGGTTTTAGTTTCTTTTGCAAGGAAGGCGTCAGCCCAGTGCAAACACTAGGCTTCGGCATTTTCAGGGTTTTGAAGTTTAGGGCTCGGGCTTGTGAGATTTAGGAAATTGAAGCTTGTAAGGCGCTTCTGAATTGTCTGCCCTGTGATGGCAAGCCCAACCGAGGACGGTTTGGACGCAGTAGGCGCCCGACGACGAAGACTGCCAAGAACTCGGGTCCATGCACCTAGCCTAGCCTAGCCGAGACCCCGAAGACAGCACACAACGTCTTAGCTCATGGAGATGTAACTGCAACATACCTCGTAGGGCGTTTTATGCTTCAAACCGCAAACCCTAAACCCCAATGGCCCAAACGCTAAACCTTAAACGCTGAACTCTAACTAAACTCTCTAAACCATAAAATCGCTGGCAGATCCATGAACTGGTTCCCTGTTGGGACTATATCAAAAATGACAACTTTTAGTACTTATTGGGTTTTCTTGTAACACAAATACATGTAAAATTGTATCCAACAAGGACACAGTGAAGAGTCCCGGTACTGACACCGGGCCGAGCAGCCTCGGGGGATACGGGTTGCACGGTTGCGGCTGCCTCGTCAAGAAGCATGCGCAGCATGTGTTCGACTCAGATTGCAATGTCTTGACGCCTCGGTCCGTGAAGTTGCTGGGGGGAGGCGGCATTGCTGCAAAACCTCGGAAGTCGAGAAATCAGTCGTCCGGCCGACGAGCCCTGTGCTACTACTGAACGCTCGGCAAGCACGGGCCGCGCTAGTGTTGGCTACCACTGCTACTGAAGCCCAAAGCTGCACTCTCGACTCGCTTCCCTGCCAGCCTCTGATTGGTTGCTGGAATTATTCCGACCATACTTTTGGAATTCCGGAACTAGCAACGTACTACTGTTACGACCACTGATTCTGCTATCACCATTACTTTAGTACCGGCATTACCACTAGTACTACTGCCACTACGACTCTCACTCGTACTGTTAGTGGCACCACTAAGCACTTCACAGCAGCACCGCAGATACGTGCATGCACCAAACCGATTTTTCTAGGAAGAAGTCCCAGGCGCGGGAGGCTCAGTCGAGGCTTCTCAGCTCACCAGCCGTCCTGATAATTGAAGTTTTCTGCGTGGCATGCTCCCACCAAGTCACTCTGAGCAGCGGACTCTTCACGATCGCCGGCTTTCGCATCCACTGGAGCACAATGTGGCTGCAACCGCCCTTTGACAGGCGAAGCCTGACCGAACACCAACATAAGAACACAAAAAGGCGCACCAGTAGGGCCCTTGCACGTTGATGTCCAGGACCTCGGCGAACTACTCCAGCTGCCTGCACATCGCGATTACAGTAGGTTAGCAAAAGGAATCGCCGATATCTGGCCTCAAGTGAAACTCCATCAGCAGCTGGGTGGCACGGACGAAGCGATCAGTCGATGTGGTCGGCCAGTCCAGCATCTGAAGCAAGTCAAGATTCACCGAGCAATATTGACCTGCCTTCCGATAAACCTCGTAGACAAAAGCGCCTAGCATGAAAGTCCAAAAAAAAGAATATCGTGTCAATGCGAAGCAATGCTTCCTCCCGATCATAGACCTGCCGGCAGAATCACTCGCAGTTCGCTGACGATCACTACCCAGCCTCTGTCGTGTGGCTCATTGTCCACCACGACGGATACCTAAGGTCGTAACGAAACCGTTACGAAGCACGACCATCGACTGAACACATCACAGTCCGGGGCAGGAGCTCGAAAACTGGCTCTCGTCATCATCAACGTCCATGACGGGAAAAGCGTAGATGGGCCCTTCACTGCCGAAAGAAAACGAGGAACGCGCCCACCGCTTGAGGCTGGGGCCGGGAAGAGCGGCCATGATGACCTGAAGCGACCAATGTCTAAGAAATAGAACAATAGCATCGACTTCCGAGGATGTAACAGTGGGCAGAGAGCTGAAGGACCCAGAACGACCAACTAGCTCGATCACAAAGGCTGCAGCAAGAACTGTTCGAGTGCGATTCCGATCAGCCCGCTTTCGTCAGCAAATGATGGGCTGTTCCCTCCAACATCGGGTTTAGGGTTTGGGTTAAAGACAAAACCCAAAACAACAAGGGACCCTAAACCCTAAACCCATAAACCAGGGGACGCCGACTATTTAGACCCTGAGTAGCGCTCCCAAGCTCCCAGCACCAAAGAACAATGCACAGATTCCAACCTATAGTAGAAGCCAGAAAGTTGGAACATTGTAGTCCTCATACCCTTAAGGTTAAGCATAACGGATCCTAGCACGAATCCTCCTAAATCCATGTTCCAACGTTCTGGGGTTCGCTCTACGCTAAACCTACTTTACGCTATATAAATCCTGCATTACCTTATAAGGACCGTAAACTGTGGGAATTACGGGATATTCCTTATTATGAGTAATGTGGGACTTATATCATCAACAGTAGTAGTAGTATCCTTAGGCGCCAGACATACGAGAAATCCCGTGCTGCAGCTCGTCTCCTAATATGGGGCTGATGAGGGGCATGTATGGGTGACTCAAGCGCCTTAAGCCACCTTAAGCCTTAAGCCATAAGCCTTTCTTAAGACTTAGCTCGATTCTTGTGGAGGGGCTTTGATAACGGTTTGCGCTATGTTTGGGATGGTGTTACTTGCTATTCCGCCCTGTATATTAATGTCTTACTTCCCCAATGAGCCAGGGAAATAAAAGGTGAAACTTTCAGGTTGATACTAAATTATAAGAACCAAAAAATTGAAAGGTTGGGTGTTGGGGAACTAAGATGTAGCAAAGCCAAGTTTCATGCCCACCATGATGGTCGGGTTGACCCTGTGGCTTTAGCCGGGGCTTCTCGTGTTCATAGAGAACGTGTGCAGGGGCTTTATCAGGGGGCACTTCAGACAGTTCGGCTTGGGTGTAGGGTTTACCTATAGTCTCCATTGTAGTTCCTGTTTGGGATACCTTATAAAATCCTTAATATATAACTGGTTAAAACAAAAAGAAGGAACTACAATGGAGACTATAGGTAGGGTTTACTGGGCCGGATTCAGAAGCCCTATAAAAATTAAATTCTTATGGGTTATATATGGTTATATAGGGATTATAGTCCTTAAAACTTAAAAATAATTTCCAAGAACACCCGAGCTTAGGGTTTGGGCTTTATCAGGGGGCACTTGGGGCTTCCGGAGATGATGTCTAAACCCTAAACCCTAAACCCTAAGCTGAGACTCGAAAGCGTGAGCCGTAGGGACCAGCAATCAAATAGCGAAAGCTTTAGAGATCAGGGTTTAGGATAGGTTTAGGGTTTAGGGTTTAGGGTTTAGGGTTTAAGCACAACAGATACCAATGAGGCAGTATCTCGGGCAGATAGCAAAGTGTGCAGTTTTCGAAAATAGGGTCCCTTTGTAGGCGCCCCAAAGATTATACGGCACACTTATAACAAGGACCCTCAAAGGGACGTTAACTTCGAGAACTGCCCAAATACCCAACCTGAATACTCGGAAACCCTAAACCCTAAACCCTAAACGAATCGGGATCAACCACTCGGTCTAGAGCGGTTCTGCGGTCCGGAACTCGTTCTAAACTCCTTAGCATCCTTCCTTAAAGGGTTCCTGGAAAGGTTCCTGAAAGAGTTGGTTCATTAAAGGGTTTCTTAAAAGGGTTTCCTAAAGGGTTGGTCTATTTTCTCAGAATTTCCATCCCATTATAAACTTCTGAAGCCCAAAGCCCCAAACCCTGTTAAAAGGGTGCCCTCTCCATCCGTGTAGGAACTATTTGTGGTCATGGCTTTGTAGAGGCCATTTTGTGCTCATAGGCATGACCTCAAAAAGAATGCTTTAATGGAAATATATATTCTTATATATACGTGTATATCTAGCCTTTCAGGCTTCTAGACTAGCGTCTGCTTCCGGCAGAAGGTCTCATACGACTTCCGGCTTGGTACCACGCATGGGCCAACTTGCGATAACACAACAGCTACATAATGTAGGGGCGGAAAACTAGCAATAGTATCCCCTATATTATATGTAATCCCGAAGCGTCCCGAATCTATAACAACAAACTTGTTTCCCCATTCGACAACAAACTGCTCTCATTATCTCCTTCGGCGCCCTATAAATACATGACAATAATGTAGGGGCCTTAATAATTCGAATAGGTTTTGGGGCCCATTATATTA